GTAAAATCATGTTATAAAACATCATTTTATAAAATAAATAAAACATAATCTTATAAAACAAATAATACACATCATTTGTTCAGACATGAGTAAAATTACCCACACTCGGTACCTTCAAAACAATCCAAACACCGTGTTAGACTGTTCCAAAGGTACCTTGAGTAGGTAATTCTTACTAATGCCCTCACTGCTGTGTATTATTTGTATACTATCAGGAAGTTGTGACTCTTAAAAATCACAACTCCCTGCTTATACTCTGCCACTGTTCCTTATCGTTCTCTCTTCTATCTTTTTGTTTATTTTCTATATTCTTTGTTCATACTCTGTATGAAGTTTATTATTTCTGTTTAATCTCTTTCTCTCTCTCCCTCTCTCTCTCTCTCTCTCTCTCTCTCTTCATCTTGCTTTCTCTTTTCCTTTTTCTTCATAGATCTTCTCTCCATTGCCTTCCTATCTCTCCTTCTCTGAATATGTGAGCTACCAGGAAATACATCTTTACATCTTTATTTTTCTAGATACCAAAACCCCATCCCGTCATTACAGTCCCTGACTTCTGAAATATGCACTAATTGCTTCTTCATTCCCAATGCGATCGGCCAGACACAAGCGAAAACGAAACAGCCGGCCTCTAGTTAATGCCAATTTCAGAAATCAAGTCATCTCAGAAATGCCTAAATAGAGAATTGATTGACTGATTGCCAGTTGATTGGTTGTGGAAAAGTTGTACAGTCATCGACAAGGGAAAATATACTAATTGCAACATGCAAAGCCGTTACCTGATCAGCAGTGTTGAAATTGTTATTGGGTTTATTTCTGCTTGTTTTATTTTCAATTAAAGAAAACTTTTTATTTATGATTTAATAGAAGAAATGAGATTTCCTCAGAGGCGAGTTTTGTACATATTTATTTGCCTTTTTCCCTTAAACTGAATTATTTTGTACTGCTGCTTAGTTTATTTTTACTGTTAAAAGCAAGAGATGAATGTGTATTTAGGACTAGAAGATGGTTTATTCAGTCTGAAATGAATCTTTCCAAGACATTTTAAGAAGAAGGGATGCACATACGTAAATCTGTTTGTGACTACTTAAAGTGTTTCATAAGTCCAAACATAGTATGCACATGAGGCATGAAGGATTGATTACGCATTAGTTTTTGATGATAATTACTTTTAATCACAGACACACACCCTTACTCATTGACTTTCTACTCTCTTTCTTCTCTACCTGATCTGTTTTGCTTCAATCTGGGTTAGGAAACCCCTGATTGCGTGCGGACCATTAGCCAATTCAAAATTGACATTATGTGGATATGAGTAACTCCATATATCACCACAATAACATCAGGTGTTTGAACAATGGCTTTGACCCTAAATGGATTTGTATGACATTGTGCAATGTGTCGTCATAATTCAATGGGAAAAGCAATGTCTCCTCAAATAGCAGGAGATACAAAAAAGGAAAATTGCCAAGTTGGAAAACGACTCTTTAACTTGAACTTTGTTGAGAAATAGGAAATGATTGACATTGTTATTTCAAGGCCATAGATTTGATGGAAATTTGTCTTTTTTTTTTGTCAAGTTTTATAAAGGCAAAGACAATACATGTACACCAATTTTAATGTACATGTCCATACAAGTCTTCACTAGAGTTTTTATGTAGCTTTGACATTTTGCAAATGGTTGTATATTACATAGGTCCACTAACCATGCCCAGAAATCAAGTCATTTGAATACAAGTCACTTGCTCTAAAATATTCAATACAATTAAAAGAGTGGTGTCACTAGTTGCGTGTCCTTGCAATTTTTCTTCCCCCCGAATAAATATTTTAAAAAAGAGGCAGAGAAAACTGATGCATTAAAGAGATATACTCTTTGTTGAATTTTCACCTTGTTTTTGAATATTTTCTTTTAGTTTGCTTCTGAAGTAATGAATCTGTAATGAAATCCAATGCCTAAAATAGAAATCTGAAATTGTAATCGAGCTGAAATGCCTACGGATGGATGCAGTCCTTGCTCTTTGCAGTTTAGTTTCATGAAAACTTGACACATCAAGTGGACAAGGCCAACAATCACTGAATTCACGCTGGATATTGAATAATTTGTTGAAGTGATAAAGAGGAAGCGGTTGCATATACATTGACAGATTGGAGGCAACGAGCTGGGAGATATGCTCCAAAAGTAGGGCAGCTTTTTATCAGGATGGAGCATTAAATGAGATAAAATACCTGGCCTCTACAAATTTATTTTGGATTCAGGCTCTGGTGTCTGTTATTACCTGTAACCATGAGGACCTGCGAGGTATGCGTTTTGGAGCTCCAGAATATCATCATCATCATCATTTATTAAAGTCAGAAATTTCATGTTTATTTTCACTGAATCAAGTAATATTGGATCAACCAACCTCACAGGTACCTCAACTTGATTAAAAAGTTCAATATAACAATATTTCAATATTTTATTACTTGTCATATCTTGTCATTTATTTCAACCATCATAAAGTCCAGAGAAAGAAGTATGAACCTTTATTTAGGACTTTTAGGAGCAAAGAGGGGACTATCAAATTATCCTCATCCTCCTTCCCTGTTGGAGAGGAACAATCATAAAATCAAGGCCCATTTGCCATTAATTTATTATTTCCATAGTGATTCGATATTTGGTCGAGTGCTTTGTGACATTTTTAGACTAGACGCACCCCCAGCTGGGAGTATGAGGGGAGAGTGCAGCCATTGGCATCAAATGATCGGACTTGTGAAAACTAAATTATGTTTTGATTGGAAACTAAGATTATAGTGACCATTACTCAGTGGTGAGGGCAAGCATTTAACCTATTGCCTACTGGAACTGGATGGCCCTTGTATTAATCCTATGGCAATGATTTAATTCAGGAGTCAAGGGGTAAAGTCACAAACATTGTCATTTGGTAATTTTTTCACACTGAACATGAAAAGATGGAGGACATTTCTGACCAATGAATTCTGATCTAAGTTAACATCAAACTTTACAGGCTTTTGTGTATGTCTCAATTCATGACTCCATGTTGGTCTTTCAAATAAATTGATTTCAGATACATCATAGACTTGTTTGGTTCAATTTCTAGTGTCATGATGGAATTTATTGCTTTCAGCCTAGTGGATTATTATTTAATCAGGATTATCTGAGTATTCTGACTTTAACGTTATTATTATAAGTGCAGACCATCGTATTGTTCAATCTATAATCCGTTATACCTATACCACAAAATATTTCATCCATTTGAACTTTACTCTACAACTCTATACTCATGGCCACTCACCCCTAGTTTGAAACTTAATTCTCCAACTGTCGACTTGATTCATATCAACTAGGGAAGCGTAATCTCTTTTCCTCTGATCTGTTTGTGTGTATTATGAGATTGTTGCTTTGGGTAGGGTAGATTATTTATCTCAATATATTGTCCTTATAGTCATATCACTTGATACTATTACTCATAGTGTTTATCCCTCTTGTGGTTTGTCCCAATTGTAAATCAATGTTTGTTTCTGGTAACTGCAAACACAGAAAGTAAAATCTGTAGGTTTTATTTTCCGTTTCGCATCTGAGGTTGATCATCTTTCTTTTCAGTTTCGTTTTCCTCCTGATGCTAATATGAAGGCCTTATGAGTATTTAGGGCCTATGTATATTTCTTCCTGTTTTTTCCCTCCGATTTAATAAGTAAATTTACAGAACAACTTCAGGGAGTTCACTGCCAGACATTAGTCCATTTTCCTTTAGAGCCAGAAGCAAATTAACTTGTAGCACTCAAACATAGAGACAACATTTGTTTGCCTCTCATCAGAAGACTTCTTAGACGAACCTATGTGCACCATCTCCTATCACAAGGAGCATTGTCCTCTGACCCTGTTAGGAGACTGATACACATCTCAATCTGATTTTTTACCATGTCTCCATATCTCTCCAGGGTTATAAACCTCTTTGTTACAATATATGTAACCGTATGCATTGCCTGAGGATATGACTGCCACGTCAGGACCGAAACTCTGATTGCATCTCTTTTGTGTAACTCACCAGATTCATTGTACGACCCATGTCATGGGGGTTCAAAGAATTTGCTGTTTTCTTGATTAACATTCACAGTTGCATTCATTGGAAAGTGGAGCAAGCGTGTGTGCCTGCGAACCGTACCCATAGTATGTTCATGTCCGCAATTCCGTGCCTGGTATTTCTGGTTTCCTGAATAGGTCTTTGAGTTCTTTCTCTCAGAGGCTGTTGTTATCGGATCTCATGGGGGGTAAGAGAATACCTCAATACATGGATTAACACCACGTATGCATCTGTTCAATACATGATCCAGTTACTGAAAGATGAATTCTACATCAGGGTCGTTTTATTTCACTGTTGTAGCTCCAAGCCAAGTTTGTTCTCAGTGTGATGTTGCCATGACGACTGTTGTGTTGAAAATTCCAAAGAATTATATTTCATTATAATGTCTTGATGTACTAAAAGGTTAGAAATTAAACAAAGAATCAAGTGGATTATTGCTGCAGATTAATATAGATTTAGGAATTGTTTCGATTTTGTTTCCCCCTCCAAATCAAATTGCTTGAATATAGATATTAATCTCATACTTATTAATAACTAGAATTAGCTTTGTTATTAATGGTTTTCATCCTCTTTACGTCATTATATTTTGTTTTTGTTTTTTATCACTGAAATGACAAGGATCCTGTCTCTCTTTCTTATCAACTTTAGAAAATAGAATTATTCATTGTATTTCTCTCTCTCTCTCTCCCTCCCTCCCTCCCTCCCTCCCTCCCCCTCTCTCTCTCCCTTTTCCTTCAAAATTGTATCTGTCTTCCATCTGTTTTACTCTCAAACAATATACAGTATGTATTTTAATAGTTACATTTGATTATTCTGTTTAAAAGATGAACACATTATCAATGTGGGATTTATCAGTACCGGTATGTACCTCTCAGTTAACTGATTTCCCTATCTCTCTTTCTCTCTCTCTCTCTCAATCAGGTGGGTCAGTTCTTCTGTCCATCTCCAGTGACCAGCTTGACCACCATGTCTCGGACCAGTAACACCATCCTGTGTGGAGACCAACTAGGAAACGTCTACCTGCTTGAGTGGAAACAGTAAATAGGACCATGAATGGACTAAGATAGTCCATGATAGGGTCTTACCTACTTCAAATGTCTTTTTCTTTCTTACATACTTTATGTTTGGACTTTAGGCAATAGATTTATATTAGGTATTCCATATTAAACCTATGAGGTACATTTGTAGTGTGAGGTACGTACTTATTGCAAGACAGTGGCAACATTTGTTTATTCCTATATGCTCTCTACTTTTGCCTTTGTTTGATAAGTTTCAAAGGAGAAACACAATGGGTAACATTAAGATGCAATCGTTTTTTTTTTCCCTCAAAATTGAGAGTTTCTAAATGTACATCAATTTTTGTCGAAGATCTTTTATTTAGCACATATATTATACATTGTGCAATAATATACATATTTAACATTTGATAGTGCATGAATTATATTAACAAAAACCTGGTATTTGTGTAATGGGCATGTTTAGAGTATGACTCTTTTGCTCTCATTTGATATTCATAGGTATATTAGATATGCTAAATTGGAAAAAAGAATATTTTAAAAGGTAATACAAGATTTTCTTTGTAAGGTTTGAGCTGATAGCATTATATGCAAGCAATCTTTATTTTGTAAATAATAATCATATAAGAATAATCTGTGCTAAGTGTTTAAAACAAAGGATTTTTTTTAGCTCATGTCAATGGTTAAGTTTGTAGATATTTTGCTTGTTGTTGGCAGATATTGCATTCCCTGTTTCCTTCCTATTTGAAATAGATTAAACCTGTCTTTCAGTTTTGTATAACATCTCCAAAGAGAGCAGAAGATTTGATGTTTACTATATAATGTTACCATTAGAATATTTGAGTCCAGACATGTGATTATAGCCTAAGTTTGAGAATTTCTCCATATAGTGACGTAGTATGTTAATTCAAATATTATTTGCAGTGTTAGCTGGCTGATTTTATCAAATTATATTTTTCTTGTATTTCATGCAAGGGAGTTTGTAATTTCTTGATATAATGTGTATTGTCTTCCTCTAATTTTCTCAATGTAAATCATTGTATTTTTGATTACAATTGTTCTTTTTCTGTGCCTCATCGTGAAAAAAAATAAACCAGATGGAAGATATTGTATTTCTCTGTATTTTTTGTAAAATTTGAACTACATGGTGGTTCATTTTTATATGATACTCACATTTTATAATGAATATCTCAGTAGTTATATTGGATTTGTTGAACTGTGTGGACTGCATGATTTAAATGACAGTCATAAGAAGAAAAAAATCATAAGCTGATGTTTGTGTTTGTAGGAGTTTTAACCGTTCCTTGACTGCAACTCCATTCCATGTTAACCAGCTACCATATATAGTATAGCTTGTATTGTGATGTAAACTATGAGATGTATGCATGTGTATTGTTACATTTTTAAACCAAAATCATTAGATATGTCATCATTTTATGAAGAAATGTAGCTACTTTTGCTAAACTGTTCCTAGTTTAAAATAGTTATGTAAAAAAAAGAAGGGTAATTTACTTTGAAATATATTTTACCCATTTTATACCACTTTACCCACTTTGAATTATATTGTACATGCATTCGATATGAGAGTTGCTTAAAAGTTGCTAAGTTGCTTATATTCAGTCGTAAGAAAAATAATGGCCATCTGTATTGAGATTTCAGTTCCTTGAGAAGACACCAAAAAATGGAATAAAATTAGATTTTATATAATTTACTATTGTATGCATTATTTGATGTGATAGAATAGCCCTTCCAAGGTCATATCAAACATGGATGGGTATCACATGATTTTCTAGATGACAGTGCCAGTTTTGTTAAGTAATCTCACTTCAAAAAAATGATTACCTGAAGCAAAATTAATAAACTTGTAAAATGAATGAAGGAATTATAGCACAAAAGAGATTTACAATCATGAATAATGTTAGTTATGTTTTTGCCTGAATCACGTAAAACTATACAGGAGATATTGATAGACATGGAATGAGTCGAATTTTGATCTTTGAAAATTATGTTCTTATATTTGAAGAAAAAAGTATATGTAGGAGATAAGCTATCAATGGAGTAATTTCCATTGAATAAAATTAATATGAGAAGTCAGTTGTTCATTGGAATAGTTGGAGTGTAATAATACTTTTTCACTGAGTAGCAGTCAATTACAAAGTTATCAAACTTCTTCGAAACTGTGCTATTTTCTATACTAATTTGTTTTGTGTGTGAATGAAGGAGAGTTCTATATACTTCAATGGTAGAAATAATCATGACAAATAACAAATTACAATCATGTAATCATTATCACAAAGGGAAGGGATGTACTTAATTTGATTTCTAAAACAAATCAAGGCATGATTCAAACATCAAGTTTTGCCTAGTTCCACATAATCTCATCTTCGAAAAGAGAAGTACCAAACAGTTTTGTTTGACAGATATCATTGTAACATTCTACTTCTATCATCATTATGGCATTTGTACCAATGTGTAGCTCATAGCTGTGTTTTGTTTGAATAGCAATAACCCTGATCCACAGTTAATGTATTGATTTTTTGTTTAAGGTCAGTGAATTGTGTGCAAAAGTTTAATAATTTGCGAATATTTTGTGTGCACTATAGAGATGGAAGAAATTGATATCTTATAAAAACATCATTATTTTTCTTCACAATCTGATATACTCTAGATGTTATAGTTTTGTGTCACATTTCCTTTATTAAGATAAAAGAATTTATTTTATGGTGAATATAGAAGTTTAATAAACAATGGTTTAGAATTCTACTAAATTCTTTGTGTTTTTTGTTCTTTATGTCTATTTGTTTTATCGGTGGTACATGTACTATGTGCAAAGGTTTCTTCAATTTTTTTCTGACCTCGAAATGGAATGTGGGAAAATCAGACAAAAATGATTTGTGCACTTGTGAATATTTGACAGTACATAACATTTTGTTTTCACAAACCAGATTTTCTTGGTAAAAAGTTGTACAATAACAATTTTTATCATTTCAATTAAAGAAAGACTTAATTTCAATAGTTTTATTTGTATTTATCAAAAAAAGACGATCGTGATGAAATGTAGCATCATAAACACATCCTCGTGAGCGAAAGTGCTAAGTATACCGGCAGGGAGAGATCATTCTCTATCCCTGGCACCGGTCTGCATCGAGGAGACGGCCGGGTTTTCCCGCGGGTTTCCACGTTTACCCCTGTCTCGTGGCCATGCATGTTTCCGGACATAACACTACATCATCTGTAACCGCCAGACGGAATGCTTTGAATATCTATACATGTACCCCAAGTTCATGATACAAATTTAAAACACGGTTACAAAATATCGATCATATTTCTTCTCAAAATTCACAGACTACAGTTTATATGATTTGGACAAGGTTGTGATGACGGAAACTATAACAGCACAAGTTCATGTTGGTGAGTTTTAATTTGTGAGGACTACAAGAACGGGTACATTATGAATTCTTAGTGAAAAAAATGTTGAATTTTCTATATTAATAATCAATTGCCGGAAGTAATACGTCATGAATATTCATGAACCCAATGCATTGGTCGTTATTTGTAGTCCAGCGCAGCTTCTAGACCGTTTCCGTGTCGCGCGTCCAATCAGCTGATCAAAGAGATTCGATCAGTAGTTATCGTGGTAGTTATGATATCGTGGAAAACCAACAAAAAATAAAAATACATGCACAGATAAATAAAAAAAAATTACACCTAGTATTTGGTATAATCTTAAACTATATCCAAACAATGGCAAGGAAAGGCTATTCTAGTATAGGAACCGAAGTAGGAAGTACCGTCTGGAATTATGGGTAGGCCTATGATTATTATTTGAGATTCAACAAGATCCAAAATTATTTAAAGAATCACATGTTCAGGATAAGATCTCTATCTTTTCAGGAAACCTTACAGTAAAAAGGGCAAAGTTTATCAAAAAATATCGCAGTTCAGTTTGCCTGAAGCAAATCTTGATAATGCCTGGTAAAATATTAGAATGTCCTTTCCTCTGAATCTCGTAACGTTGTGCTACAGAATGAAAAATGTCTTCAGTTTGTAAAATTCCGATGGTTTAATCATGAAGTGATTCTGGTTACCTGCATCGTCACTTTGTAGAGGATTTATTAAAAATTTCTATCTTTACAATCCATGAAAAGTAACTCTACTGATATGATGTAAAGCTACTTTTTCATAAATCAAATTTTGGGGTTACTCACCCCCCCCCCCCCCCCCCCCCCCAAGTATCCACACGTTTGGGCATGCTGGGGATATGGTTTTAATCGTTCAGTTACATATTTTGTTTATTATTTAATTTTTTCATTTCATGATCAGTTTTCCGCACTTTCCCTTCCCCATTCCCTTCTCCATTAGTATTTCGGCATATCGTGTAAATGACTAAAAGTCGTACCCCCTTCCCCCAACATTAGTTATACTTAAACTTTTATAAATATGTTGTAACCCTTATCAGAACTCAACATATACCTGGCAAGGTTGGTAATGTTATTCGTTCATGAGTACATAACCAAATACCTGTACTACGTGTATTTTCATATCTTATGAAAAGTTTTTATATTTTTAGATAGGTCACAAATACACAGCACTCCCAAACAGGTGATTTTGCTTCTCAATTTTGAAGTGTATTTAGATAAAATGGCAACTAACATGAACTTCCATATCAACCTAATTTATAATTAGGGCTGAGTACATAACAAAATACCTGTACTACCTGTATTTTCGTATGTTATGACAAGTTTTTATATTTTTAGATAGGTCACAAATACATAGCACTCCCAAACAGGTGATTTTGCTTCTCAATTTTGAAGTGTATTTAGATAAAATAGCAACTAACATGAATTTCCATGTCAATTTAATCTATAATTAGAGCTGGGCACAGGTGTACGTTTTGAAAACATTTTACAAACGCCGCCCTCCCCCCCCCCCCCTCTCTCTCTCTCTCTCTCTCTCTCTCTCTCTCTCTCTCTCTCTCTCTCGTGCTCTAGTCAGTCACATTCTCTGTTCCTCCATTAACCTCTGTCCATAATATGTATCTATCTATCTATCTAAATTTTTATCTCCATTTTCCCCTCATTTTATTCATCATTTACTGTTGATTTAAAAAAAAAAATTAATTTATCTATCGATCTATTTTCATATCTTTCTACAGAATCTATATATCATTCTATCTATCTATCTATCTATCTACATATCTTTCTTTCTTTCTCCATCTCTACCTACCTGCTTACCTATATGTATTGTCTACATTATGGTTTCTCTTTTTGGCGGGTCATTTTCATATTTTTTTTGTTCGATTTTCTATTTATCTATCGATCTATTTTGATTTCTTTGTACATAATCTATCTATCCATCTACCTATCTATATTTCTTTCTTTCTCTCTTTCTCCATGTCTACATACATGCTTACATATTATGTTAAAGGTGTTGTCTACATATGCGTTCTCTCTTCTTTTTTTAAAAATCGTTTCCACTCCCCGCCCCCCCCCCCCTCTCTCTCTCTCTCTCTCTCTCTCGTGCTCTAGTCAGTCACACTCTCTGTTCCTCCATTAACCTCTGTCCATAATATGTATCTATCTATCTATCTAAATTTTTATCTCCATTTTCCCCTCATTTTATTCATCATTTACTGTTGATTTAAAAAAAAAAAAATTAATTTATCTATCGATCTATTTTCATATCTTTCTACAGAATCTATATATCATTCTATCTATCTATCTATCTATCTACCTATCTTTCTTTCCTTCTCCATCTCTACCTACCTGCTTACCTATATGTATTGTCTACATATGGTTTCTCTCTTTGGCGGGTCATTTTCATATTTTTTTTGTTCGATTTTCTATTTATCTATCGATCTATTTTGATTTCTTTGTACATAATCTATCTATCCATCTACCTATCTATATTTCTTTCTTTCTCTCTTTCTCCATGTCTACATACATGCTTACATATTATATTAAAGGTGTTGTCTACATATGCGTTCTCTCTTCTTTTTTTTTTAAATCGTTCCCCCTAACCCCCCCCCCCCCCCCCCTCCCTCCAAATCTTCTGGAGACATTTGCGTGCGGCGTCAATTGAAATCCATGACGCATGCATTTATAAGCTATCAAAACGTTGATCAAACCACATCAAATTGACACAATTCCCGATCAAAGGTTGATAGGAGATTTGGAACAACTTTGGGTCTTTTTTTGCCAACAGGGGAAAAACAATTTTAGACTTCGGTTTCTCTCCTGAGAATGATTAGGCATTTTGAAAT